CTACTTCATTTTAGTAATTTAGCAGCTTGACGACAGTGACTCCATTTTATGTTTTCACTCTGTTCTTCAAAGGTAACTAGTCATAGCCAATCAAATAACTTCTTTGCTTTGCTTTTGCATCTTTATAAACCTTCCTTCTGGCTCCTGTTGGTGCAGTGCTCCTAACCACCTTTGGCTTACTGCTGCCCAATTCCAATTGAGTTTTGCTCAGATAAACTCTTAAAATGTTTAATATGCTAATTTAAACAATTTCATTTTGGTAGTTCATTAGCCTAAATCTCAAGTGGCTTACTCAAGACTCAAATGTCCCTGCTTTATATTTTACAAGCCCCTATGCCATGCACCTACCCAAAGCTTTAAGACCTATTGTGGGTATAATTTCCTGATGGTCACTGTTATCAAATAGTTCAATTCTTTGAAGTATAAAGTGAAATAAAAAACAGCTCAAGTTAAGTGAGGCATGGAGTATTGTGTCTACTTATTTCTTTTGGACATTATGTGATCTCTCATGCTGAGTAGATGTACATTTGTACTACATTTAGCCTTGCTTCAGAGATTCAAAGAGCTGAAGTATGTCATTCAAAAGAAGTAAACTTCTTTTGTAATCAACTCTGGTAGAATGTGGAATGATGTGGTTTCCACATGTAATTTCAAAAACTGTATTAGCATCAAACATATGCATATCCTTAGGACCCTGCTTATCATATGACTGTGGATTACAGTCTATTATAGTAAAAAGACGTAGCAGCCCGGCCTGTGTGGCTCTGTGGTTGATTGTAGACCCATGAACCAGGAGGTCATGGTTCAATTCCTGATCAGGGCACATGCCCGGGTTGTGGGCTGGATCTCCCTCTCCTTTCCTCTCTCTGAACTAAATAAAACAATTTTTTAAAAAAAATATGTAGCACTTTAACCGATTTGGCTCAGTGGATAGAGCATCGGCCTATGGACTGAAGAGTCCCAGATTCGATTCCAGTCCAGGGTACATACTGGGTTGTGGGCTGGATCTCCAGGAGGGTGTGCAGGAGGCAGCCGATCAATGATTTTTTCTCATCATTGATGTTTCTCTCCCTCTCTCCCTTCCTCTCTCTGAACTAAATTAAAAAAAACATTTTTTTTAAAGGTGTAGCGCCTTAACCGGTTTTGCTCAGTGGATAGAGCATCGGCCTGTGGACTGAAGTGTCCCAGGTTCGATTCTGGTCCAGGTGGCAGGCTCAATCCCTGGCCCTGGTTGGGGTTCAAGCAGGAGGCAACCAATTGATGTGTCTCATCACATTGATGTTTCTCTCTCTATGTCCCTCTCCCTTCCACTTTCTCTCTAAAAAAAAAAAATCAATGGAAAAATATCCTTGGGTGTGGATTAACAACAACAACAACAACAAGATGTAGCAAAGTCATGATGTTCTCAAACTCTGAGCATACAGATTGCAAGTACTTAAAAAGGTCAAAATGCCAAATATAATAAAAAATGTTTTAAATTCCTATGTTTACAGTTCCTTGTTGTTGCCAAAAGTTTTCATATTTATGAGAGCAAAGTCCTTCATTATCTGCACCAAACTTTGGTTCAAATGTTTAAGACATTGCAATGCATGGTACTACATTATTAATGAACAGATTAAAAAAACTTAATTGCACTTAAAACCCAGATATCAAAATGCTCCATCAAAAGAAAAGGCTATCACCAAAAGACATGTACTAGAATGTTCAGAGTAGCACTATCTCTAATAGCTCCAAACTGGAAACTACCCTAACGACCAACAGAAGAATGAATTCATAAATTGTGGTATATTTACAGAATGGAATAAAATGAATGAATGGATGAAACTTATAAGTAAAAAGTCGAGTAAAGAAATCAAACATAAAAGAATGCATATTTTATGGTTCTCTAAATATATATCAAGTACAAAGACAGGCGAAACTATTCTGTGTTGAAAGTCAGGATAGGCAATGACTGAAAGTCAGTATGATGGGGTCCCAGGCTGTTAATAATGTTCTGTTGCTTGATCTGCGTGATATATACACAGGTGTGTTCAGATTGTGAAAATTCATTGAGCTATATACACTTGAGATATGTGTACTTTTCTGCATATGTCAATACACATAAAATATTTCAATAAATAATTAAAAACAGAAAGAAAATTTCAGAAAACCCGTGAAATATGAATTTCAACATAATGTGATAATCCTCAATATCATTACTAGAATTTGTGAGCCATCAGTGTGAGAATCACTCTCTAAACAGAGTATTCAATGAACTGGATTCAAAACAGTTGTCTCAGAATCAAGATCCCAGCATGTCAAAAAAAGCTAATAATTTATCTTTAAAATCTCCAATCTCTCTGTTTTTCTCTACCTCCAGAGATATCGCCGTAGTTTAAGCCAGGTCATTTCTTCCCTGGCATCTCATCTGATATAATCTCCTATCCAGTCTCCCAATAGCCTGTTGTACCTGTTCTCAACCCATTAACCAAAGTGATTTAAAATCTTAACCAGATCCTTTTACTACTTTCCTTAAATGCCGCAATAGAGTCCCATTAAATTTAAAATTAATGGTTACATGGTCTGATTTCTGTCTACCTCATCCATCTCATGTCATACTGCTCTCCCCTAACTCTATACTGGAGACACACTGGCCTTCTTTCTGTTCTTCCAAAATGTCAAGCTGTTCCACCCCAGGACCTTTGCTCTGCTGTTCTCTCTGCCCAGAACAATTATCACTTTTCTGGTGTCAGGACTGATTCTTTCTTATTCGTCCAGTCTCCATTTAAATGTTATCTTATAAAATTATCTTATAACAACCCTCCCTATCTGATGTCAACCTCCTCTTATTCTCTATATCCACACCTTGTCCATTTCCTTCCTTGACATTTGTTATTTTATTTGCTTGTTTACCTGTTTGTTTATAAGGCAGCTATCATGTTTAATTGCGCCACGATTGTATCTCCAGTGCTTAGCACAGTCCCTGGCATACAAAAAAAATCCTAGATAAACAAATACTTGTCGAATGAATGAGACATTCCCAAGGGATCACATGATGACTTCTCACGGAGAAAGCTGCACTGTGAATTTTTCAAATAATAACAATGAACCAGATGCCTTTCAAGCGCCCTTGCCCAGGCAAAGAATTAGCATTCCGTTTTCGGTTTCCTAGTTGTCACAACCACCGCCCCTTTGCCCCTAGCGACACCCTCACTGCTCCTGGTGGTCGACCCTCACTTGGTACTGTATCCCGACCCCACCCACCACCGAGGCGCCTCCTCATTGGCTGGTGCGCCAAGGCCTTGCTGCGTGGGATGTCACCGCGAGCTGCTATTGGCCCCAGTCGACGTCGCTCTACACTGCGCTGCTTCCCGGGGCGACCAAGTGAAACTGCAGTGGTGGGGAGGCTCGTTCCCATCGGGATCTGTGATTGGTGCTCCGGGTGTCAGGCGCACCGCCTCTCCAAGCGCGGATTGGCCGGAGCTGCGTCCGTCAATGCGAGCAGACTCCCCCGCCTCTCCAGCTGGCCCCCAGCTGGCAACACATTCTCGAGAATTTCCCGCAGAAGAGCCAGTGGCTGTTCTGCTCGTTCCAAAGATCGGAAACATCGGAGAAGGCAATTTATTTACCAACCAAGAAAGCCCCTCCCCCGACCTCGTTAGCTAATTAAACGTTTTCCAGGCACTTAACCATCACGAGGTAAGAGCTTAGAGAGTGCACTGCATGCATTTGTTAGCCTTTTATATTTTCTATAGGCTGGGTCCCCTCCCACCGCGCCCGGACCGCGGAACGGAGAGTTAACGGGGCAGGGTTCCCCGGGAGGTAAGGAGGAATACAGGCTTCGGTTCCGCATCCCCTCGGTCCGAGCCCCACGGCCAGTGTCTGCGTTTTCTGCGCCGCTTTCTTTCCTTTCGAGGTCGGGAGCCGCAGGGCCCACCCGGCTGCACGGCGGGCAGCGGCCGCTTCCTGTCGAGACCCCGGGCTCTGCCTTGACTTTGACCGCCGGCTGCAGGAGCCAGGAGAGCAAGTGCGTGGGCCGAGTCGCAGGGAGGACGGCACCACGGAAGGGCCGGTAGGAGGGAGGCTGGGGCAGCGCGCACGCATCTCCCTAGATTAGAACGAGGCCCCGCGTCGCTCCACCCGAAGCCCGGACGCGAGGGGCTGCAGGGACCAGCGCCGCGTTGTTCTTGCAGCCGCGGCCGCGGAGAGTGAGACGCGGGCGACACCCGGGCTCTGCAGTGCGGAGGGTGGTTGGGAGGCGGCGGGAGGTGCAGGGGGAACCCA